TGACAGTGTTTAAAGCCCAGGTCAGTAGCGATACGAGCAATAGATAAGCTACTTTACCTGGTACCGAGAGCTGGAGACAGTCTCTTAACGCCGGGCAGAGGCGTTATAGATCCGCCCATGTTTTGATGTCAACCGAGGCATGACACCATTTAGTCTTAATTTTTGAGCTGCACACACTAGATGTGCCGCGTACGGACAAATTAAACGAGTCCCCACGCGAGGCACGATACCATCCGTACTCTGGCGGCTGTGCTGCAATGCTGTCAGCAGCCCAAGTCCTGCTCCGCTCCCGCCCCGTCCCGTCACGTCAGCGAGTCCCGTAACCGGCCGCGGCGCCTCATCCACGGATGACGTCAGCCACCGCAGGGCACGACGGCGGCCCCTTTCATCCGTGGGAGACAAACTGTCAGCGGGCCTTAACGCCCCTCGCCCCTTAACGCCCCTCACGCCGTCCGAGCGGCGGCGCGGCCGCGTCCGTTTCGGCCAGATCGCATCGAGGGCGCCGCCGGTGACGGGCCCGACGCAAAAACGGCATCGACTTCGGACCTCGGCTGCGGCAGTACGCGCGGACTTGTGCTGTTCCGGCGGCCCTGATCGGGTCCTCCTGAAACCGTGTGAAACCTGGGTCTCTGCGCAGCCCAGACAAGTCGCGGTCCCTATGGGCTCGAGGCCAGTGCGGGCCTCACACCCTCAGCGAAAGCCACTGCTTTCGCGGGGATTGTGCGTAGAGCGAGTTAAGTCCCGGATCTCACGCAGCGACGAGGATTCATCGCAACTCAGATGCCAATCGATCCAGCTCTTCCTTCACGGCGGCAGGACCTTCAAAGAGTCATCAATGCGTTGAACATTTCTTTTTAGAGCCAGCAGTTTCTTATAGAACATCATCTGAAGGGTGCGTTTGGCTGCCCTCTACTGCATTTGTCTCATGTCTTGTATGAGAGCTTGCTCACCACACTCCTGTCACTGTCTTTTTGTTTGATGCTTAACATTTGCCTGGACCTTTTAAATAATTTCCAATTTCTGTAAATATATATATACATATAACGTATATTATATATATGTTGAAATATTTTGGTAGAATCCTTTCTTTTATGCATGGTTGATTAAAAATAACTGTTGACATAGCATCGACGAGCTTTTGTCACATCGTTCTAGTTTCTGGGCCTTTTACTGGGCGTCATCGCTTAGATTAAAGATGGTTCGCACAAAATTACTCATATATTCATCGCTCCTTACATTCTAACTTTTCGAGATCCTATCTCATCGTCGGAGAAGACTGAATAGCACAAAAAATAAGTTTTGAGTTTTAAAGGATAAAATATTGTGCACTAATGTTGGAAAACATCTTTTCGCACGGCTAACATAAATGAGGCATAACTAAATGAAGTAAGCCAGAATCCTATTTTCACTCTGATACATATAAGAAACACTCATAATGGGAACACTACAAAGACACAATGGAAACACTATTGTTGCAATCACATCAATAGTGCTCACCGCCCACCACTTAATAGTTCAAGAGTTGTGCAAGAATTGGTCTGTCTGTTCAGAGCCGGAGAGAGTTTGTTAATGAATATGCTCCCCAAATTGAAGGCGTCTTCTGTCATTGCACGTCCGTAAAATGTCAGTGTTGTCTGTCAGTTGTTGTGTCAATGTCATGTCGTGTCCATGTCGCATGTGGTCCAGATGTGCCCCGTCACGTAAGTGCATCGTCAGGCCGTCGTGAGAGTGTCGTGTGGTCACACCAATGTAGGGTATGGAACAAAGTTTGAAGCCTTCGATGTTGCATTTAATTGATGCCACTACGTTGGTGCCGTTTTAGTTTGTCGGGTGTGGTCTGGGCTGTTTCTCATAAGAAAGCTAGATATTCTCTTATTACGATAATAAACGTCGATTTGTCTTTTCTGTGGTCGTTTTTTGCCTTTAACATGCCGAGAGGTAATTTCCCGTAAAACTTTTTGTATTTTATGCTCTCCGTACCAAAAGATGTTTTCCAACAGTAGTGCACAAGTTTTATCCTTCAAAACCCAAAAATTATTTTTTGTGTCATTCAGTCTTCTCCGACGATGAGATCGGATCTCGAAACGTTAGAATATAAGGAGCGATGAATATATGAGTAATTTGTGCGAACCATCGTTAATTTAAGCGATCATGCCCAGTCAAAGGCCCAAGGCCCGGAACTAGAACGAGAACGATGAGTCAAAAGCTCGTCAATGCTGAGTCAGCAGTTATTTTTAACATATATATATATATATATATATATATATATAATATATCCCTCTCTTTTTCTCCCTTTTCACCCTCTCTCTCTCTCTCTCTCTCTCTCTCTCTCTCTTCTCTCTCTCTCTCTCTCTCTCTCTCTCTCTCTCTCTCTCTCTCTCTCTCTCTCTCTCTCTCTCTCTCTCTCTCTCTCTCTCTCTCTTCATTCTTCCCTGCATGCACATTTGAGCACCATACTCACTAGGAAACATCGGATTTTTGCTGAGCGTACAATCATGCCAAAAGTATGGTCGATACCAGATAGACATACTCTCATTCTGTCTTCTTTCTAGAAGACGTGGCAGCCTGCTCTGTTCCGCCAAAAATACTGTATGAAGAGGTCCAATCGTTCACTATGCCTGCTGGTGTACGGGTCCAAACCGACCCCAGTCCCTCGACGCCCGGTCCAATGTAGTTCAATGGTCCAGCGGCGCCGGCACCACCTCGTCCGGCGAGCTCGCGGCCGACCAGCCAGCGGTCCTCTGCCCAGCCTCGGCCGCGCCTAATGCATCCTTTTACCGGGCCCGTAATTAACGTAATGGACTCTCCTTTAGCGGGCAAATATTATGGCATTCTTGTCGGCGGCGATGAAGAAATCTGCGGCGCGCCGATACGGATCGAGGGCGGCGCGGCTGAAAGGCGCCGGCCGGACCCCCTGGCGCGCCGACAGGCCCCCCGCTCCGGAATTTGTCAAACAGAATTACGGCCGTGTGCACGGGCGCGGCACCCAGCGCTCGCTGAATGGCGATGCGTATCGCGCGCCCGACCGCCTGGAGTAGGCGACGACGGCGGCGGACGGCGGCGCATTGGGAAGCTGCCGGCCGCACTGCCGTCTCATTGTGGGCCGGCGCCGTGGAGCGCCGGGCCGGCAGCCGGCGGTGGGTCGGGTCGGGGTCACGCGGAGGGCAGCTGCAGGAGAGGACCAGGCCGGTGGCGGGGGCACCGGCGGCCGGCGGCGGGACGCGGCGCCCGGACGGTGGGTGCGCCCCAGTCCGCGCCGCCGCTGCTCCGTATCGTGGGGCCCGGACGGGGTGCGCCGCGTCCGCGCCGCCGGTGCTTCGTAATCGTAAATCGGCTGGCGAGCTGGCTGGGTTCGGTCCTGACCGGTATCGACGCGGTGCATTCAGACGGCGGCGGTGCCTTTGATCCGCTGACTAATCACGACAGAGGTGCAGCGTCACAGGAGTGTGACGTCACGGGCGTCGCCGGTACCGTCCGTCGGCTGCTGGGGCGGGAAGAGACTACTGCGTTCGATGGAAGGGGAGACCGCTGACGCTTGGGGAGAGGCTGTTGATGGAGCGCTCGATGCTGCTGATGGAGCGGTGATGAAGGTCGCTGGCGGAGCGCGGAGAAAGATCGAACGCAAAATCCACAGCGAGCACCGTTGTCTAAAGTCAAAAAGTGTGAGCGAAATGTTAATGGGCTTAACAATGTCAACGACGGCGTGCAATCGCATGCGTGCAGCGCGATGTTACAAGTCCGGCATTGCGCGACACTTTGTCGCTGCCAGTTTGGCTGCCGGAGCCATAACGGAGGGCGGCTGAACGGTAGATAACGTCTGCGCTGGGGAGTTCCGCCGTCTTGGCTAGCCGCGTCTGGTCCCGCCCAGGCTTGCCCATCAATGTTTTCTCAAGACTTCCAGAAACTTAGACAAACCAAGCCTCGCCTGCCTCAGTCTGTGACACAGTCTAGTGGCTGACACATCAGGCCGGCGACTTTGACAGACACACTAGG